CCAAACAAAGTAGTTTCGCTTTCACAACGAAACACACAGCGCCTTCACGACATGGCGGCGGCGGCAACAACAATACTACAGTGAGAATAAAAGTTACGCCTTCTTTCTTTGCGTGAACATTTGGGCAGCGTTATGCAAATCTTCCCACATAGTGAGGTAGATATGTGGGGGCGTGTTAGAACGACCCATTTTAGGTAGGCGTGGTTGACTCTTAACTTTTATAAAGAATATCTCTTTGGATTGGAGACTTTAGTCTTTGCAACTTTACAGATATTCTTTATGCACCAAGAGCTTGTAACACTCCAAAGAGAAAGGAAAAATTGAAATCACATCATACAACCCCTTTAATATTTCAATTTTCTGCCCTAGATAGCAAAGAGAACAAATGGAAGGCAAATTCCATTCTTACAAATGCCAGTTATGGTCTGAACAAAATGAAGCCTTGTTGTTCCAGAACCTTCAACCTCCCTGTTCCTCACTACAAAAACGTTACAGTAGTTTGCTTATTTAAGTCTACATTAACAAACTATGCTTCTAATCACGAGAAGGTCAAGAGCTGTAGTCCCAACCAGTGTTGGGGTTAACGCATTACAAGTAACGCGAGTAGCCTAACTTTCTTCTCCTGCTTCATATTCTTCACGCAATTTGTTTGAGCTGCGCCCTCTACTGTACAGACATGAATTTACATTTCCTTTAGCCTGAGGTGTATTCATTTCACTTTTGGTGTAAAAGCGCTTTTACGTTTGTAAAATAACTTTTTTATATTAAAAACAAGCAAGCAAGCCCTGCCCAGATTTAAAAAGTAAATCAAAAGTAACAGAACGCATTACTTTCCATAAAAAGTAACATAATTAGTTACTTTTTTAGGGAGTAACACAATATTGTAATGTATTACTTTTAAAAGTAACTTTCCCCAACACTGGTCCCAAACACGATGCTGAGTGCGATGCTGTTTGTGAATGTTCATTTGAACTATGCTTTCGGGAAACACTAAATCGTTGAACTGTGTTGGTAACAACAGAACTTGCAACCATATATAGTTGGCTAACAATGCTTTTGGGAAACACACCACTGATCTGATTAGACCATCGCAACTCCAGGGTAAAAGCAGCTAAAGATTAACTTCTTCCACAAGAGAAAAACTCTTTTTCATCTTCTCCTCTTATTTTTCTGTTAATATTTTATTTCTTATGCTCCACTTTTCACTGCCCTTTCCTTTTTGTTTCCTTTTGTGATTTGCCCATGACGGATACAACTAGAGCTAGACCTTGGGCACACTGGTACAAACAGGGACTAAGCACACACACACACACATAAGCTCAAACACACATCTTAATTGCTTGGCCAAGTGCATCCTATATGACCCATCTTCCTTAATAAAGTTGAGAATGTTATGGTCTGGCTCTCTGTGTCTAATTGATCATTCTCCTGGGGTCCCGCTCTGCGGCTGTTCTACACCACAGGGGTTGACATATTCTTTATTGTAAGTAGTGTTGTCTGTTAAATGAATAAATGCAAAAAGATTCTTTCTATCTATCTAATATATATATATATATATATATATATATATATATATATATATG